CCGCTCAGCCCAGTCAAAACTGTTCGCTGCTCTGGCACCCCAATGGTGGAACAAGCTCCCTCACGACGCCAGGACAGCGGAGTCACTCACCACCTTCCGGAGACATTTGAAACCCCACCTCTTTAAGGAATACTTGGGATAGGATAAAGTAATCCTTCTACCCCCCCCCCCCCCCCCCCCCCCCCCCCTTTACCCCTACCCCCCCCCCCCCCCCCCCCCCCCCAAAAAAAAAAAAAGCTCTTACATTGTAAAGTGGTTATCCCACTGGCTATAAGGTGAATGCACCTATTTGTAAGTCGCTCTGGATAAGAGCGTCTGCTAAATGACGTAAATGTAAATGTAAATGTAATCAGGAAGGTGATTGAGTCCAGGTGTGCCTGATGATGACGTGCAGGTGCGCGTAATGATGAATCCCACGACCGGTGACCTCGAACGCCGGAGCGATATGTGACAGGTGAGTGTTAGTATGGAAAGTGAGTAAAATAAGTGAGAGATAGTGGGGTTATGCATGTACATTAGTGAGGTTATGCATGTATAGTTGTAAGGATATACAATGTAGTGTGTGTGTGAGGGGGTCTAATCTATTTGTGTATGTGTTTGTCCTGCACTTGTATGTGTAGGCCTACAATAGTGACAGGCAATATGGCAGCATGGCGCAGGTAGGGATTGTTTCTCAGAAACCCTCATTTTGAGAGGCAATTAAAACTGTGTGGGTGGAGCCTCACAGAGAGCCTGCATGGGATAGTAGGACCAGGGCACTTAGCGGTACAGTGGTGTAGTGAAGGGGAGCAGCTCAGAGGGGAGGGGGTGGCATTTCCTCCAGTCGGGCCTGTCTAACTAACTGTCAGACAGCATCTCTGCCACATGTCTTAGCCAGCATGGACCTGCCTCCTCTACTCTCCTCCTCCCTCTATTTTATGCCCTCTTTTAACGACCCTGGTTGCTTAGCTCGCTCCTTCACCGCCTGCTTCATCCATCTGTCTCCTTTGGAAACAATTTCTCACAAATACTAGTTTACACTTTTCCTAATCTTTTCCGTGTTCTCTACTGTCCATTTCTATATTGTCCCTCTCGTTAAATCTCTGCTACCCCCCTTTCCTTCCTTCCTCCCCCCACCCCCTCTCCCTTTAGTGTAGTGTCACTGTGTCAGAGCTGCTGAGTGGTTTGACCTGGCACTGGCCCTGTTCTGGTGCACCCTGCCCACGCCACGGGGCAAAGCTCAGACACCACCGCCACCTCTCTGCCTACTGCATCAAGGAGTAAGTACATGCCTCTCTTCTAGGATATCCAGTTCTAGCTAAATATGAAAATGAGGTCGTATTTAGTCATTAAAGTCTATGTGTATCCATCCATGTAGGACAGTAACAGTATAGGCAAGAAGGACTATATCCTCTCACCATAGCACGTTGGCAGAGTTGCAGTGAGCTGTAGTTGGATATTAAAACACAGGTGTCATTCATTAGATAGTTCAGTTGTAGGTCACCATTCCGAGGCTTTTCTCAGAACAATACCAGCGGTGTGCCATCAAGAAATGTGTGTGAGTCACAGGGGTGGCACAGTGTGTGTTGCCATGGCATGCTGCTGCTTTGTGTAGGGTGTTTGATTCTGTACTGGGCAAGACAAGAGGTGGCTGTCTGAGAGAAAATGAAGTTGGGTGTTGTTTTAGAGTTGATTATTTTCATAGAATCAATATTCCTCCACTGTCTTCCTTACAAGGGTTTGTTTGTTTGATTATAGCCATGGCCTCTAAGTGAGTCTCACATGGTGGTTATTGTGAGAGATTAACATTAAAGGTATGATGGACAAGTTTAAATTGTTTCTCTCTCTGTTTCACAAATGTAATGATATTCTAACTATAGATATATGAGGCTGGGGTGTTGTTAGTCATGGTCTCTAAGGGAGGCTCACATGGTGGTTACTGCTCATTGTGAGAGATGGAAAGGTATGATGGACAAGTTATGGAGGGCAAGTTGAAATTGATCTCCCTCCCTGTTTCACAAATGATATTCTATCTATAGATAATTATATGAAACAAGGATAGAATGATGAGATGCATGGTCCAATTACTCACTTTTCTAATGTACAACAACAGCATTTGGGTGCAGATCAAATAGTATTTATCCATGGACATGTAGTAACTGAAGTTACTTATTTGCTTTTGCATGTTTAAATAGCACAGAACAGGATGTAGACCAACATACTGTGTATGAAGGATTAAAAAGACTAAATAACCATTATTGGCCCTGCCCATACCATTATTTTTGACAGCATAAGAGGGAGAGATGTGTTTTTACTGAAATATCTGTGGTGTGTAATTGCTAGGTTGTTAGAATCGTCTTAATTGTTTTGTCCTAGCAGCCTTTGAAAAAAACCTTGAGTGCACTTCAATCAATGTGAAATTATTATGATAAATGTAGCCTACTTTTGCATCATTTTGTCAAATGTGCGATAGCTACTGGCTAAATAACAGTAATAATAAAGTATTGATGGTCACTTTAAATGGGTTTGTCCTAAAATATACTGTACACAATGCTATGCTGGACATGCTGGTAGCCAGGGTGTTATAATTTGAGACCACCGCCCTAGATCTCCTGCCCTCCCCCATCACAACCTGTCTTTGTCACCACGTGGAGATGAGAACACTCCCCAGGGAGCGGCAGTGGTGGGGCAAGTTTTTAGGGCGAGACACTGCCTGTGAATAACCATTTAATATGAGTACAGGCAACGATTGACAATGAAATGAGATTGAACTAGTTGAGTGATTCATCGAGAGATAATTATATATTTTGGGTGATAGTAATGAGCCCCATAGATTTCTTTAGATTTTCTCCACCCTCAGATCTTTCATTATTGGCATCCTTCCGGAATGAATCCTCCTTATTCATTCTCTCCTCAGCGCACCTATATGGATGACCTTGGTTTCTATATGTTGACTTTTTCCACATTTTGTTACGTTACAGCCTTATTCTAAAATGGATTAAATAAAAAAATCCTCAGCAATCTACACACAATACCCCATAATGACAAAGTGAAAACAGGTTTTAGAAATTGTACCAAATTGATTAAAAATAGAAAACAGAAATACCTTATTTACATAAGTATTCAGACCCTTTGCTATGAGACTCAAAATTGAGCTCGGTTGCATCCTCTTTCCATTGATCATCCTTGAGATGTTTCTACAACTTGATTGGAGTCCACCTGTGGTAAATTCAATTGATTGGACATGATTTGGAAAGGCACACAACTGTCTATAAAAAGATCCCACAGTTGACAGTGCATGTCAGAGCAAAAACCAAACCATGAGGTCTAAGGAATTGTCCGTAGAGCTCAGAGACAGGATTGTGTCGAGGCACGGATCTGGGGAAGGGTACCAAAAAATGTCTGCAGCATTAAAAGTCCCCAAGAACACAGTGCCCTCCATCATTCTTAAATTATAAATTAGCAAAAATGTCTAAACCTTTTTTGCTTTCTCATTGTGGGGTATTGTGTGTAGATTGATGACGGGGGAAAAAACCCAATTTTAATCAATTTTAGAATAAGGCTGTAACGTAACAAAATGTGGAAAAAGTCAAGGGGTCTGAATACTTTTTGAAGGCACTGAATACTGTATGTGATGGTGTGATTTGTGTGCCTGTGTATGTTCCTCTTCAATGTCGTGTTCTCTTGCAGGGACCCTGCTTTGAGCTGCAGCGGCCCGTGGCTAACCTGTTATGACATGGTGCAGTGTCCTCTGACCCCCCCCCCCCCCCCCCCCCCACATGACGGGGGGCTACTGCAGGGGTACGGATGGCCCCACAATCACCCCATATTTTGGAGGGAAAAGCTAACTGACACCAGCTCATGGGAATGCCCACTGGAGGTAACCCCTTCACATCCTCCCGACCTCAGTCTGACCTATGTAAGTGCTCTGCAAGGGAGTGGACACAGGAGAGAGACACACAGATAGACAGACAGAAACTGAGAGATTAGCCAAGCCAAAATGACTTAATATTAATTTTGATATTACTGTTAATTATAGGACATAACATTGAGACAAATGCATCTTCCCACACCTCTCTGATTCAGAGGGGTTGGGTTAAATGCGGAAGACACATTTCAGTTGAATGCATTCAGTTGTACAACTGACTAGGTATCCCCCTTTCCCTAAATCTTCTCTGTTGGTAATAAAAACATAATGATCATCAAACATCTACACAGTTTATTGTAAGACACTTATAAATGGGCATACATTTCTTTACCGACTATAGTCACATTTTCGTTTAGACTATTGCTGGTCTTTAATTTGGCCCACTTTCCCCTCTCCCCCCTTCTGTTTCCACTTTCCAGGGATGTGACAGATGCTGCATGGGATCTGTGACCTTTGCCTTTTCCCAGCATGACTGATTTCCTCTGGTGTTCAGAGTGGACTGGGGCTTTCTAGCACCATTTAAAATCAGTTATGTTGAAAGGCATGGCACCCCTTAGTCAACACAGAGAGGGAGAGAGACCTCAGCCATCAAACTGTTCCAGCCATCTCAAGAATCTCATGGTATGACAACTCTGCTTAGGGCTAGGTAGATGTTTTAATGTATTTATAGAGGGGCAGATATATGAAATTACTGGTCTAACATTTAATTTAAATGGTTACATTTAATGTCTTGGAGAAAATGGGGTGGATCAAAACAGAGCGTTTGCATGTGAGAGTCTGTATGCTAATTGTGTGACAAATCGGACTAATGGTTTTTCTGTTGCTTAAAAAATTAAATGATGGTATTCACTGCATGTTGTGTTTTTCTTCCAATAAGCATTAGGCTCTCTTACTCAGCCTGTAATGTAAGATTACTTTCTCACCCCCCTCTTTTGTCGTCTCTCACTAATGTATTTCTTCTGTTACCCTTTGACTAGTGATTTGGTTTGGGATTAACAGGGCGAGTTTGGGCGCACAGTCTTGGTAAATAATTAGACTGGAACAGACACACACACGCATCCTGTCAGATGGAGGTCTCTCTGGAAGTGAGAGAGAGCGATTGAGAGTCAGGAGAGCTTTTTTATTCTCTTCCATCAATGGGAATCAGGTGCTCCCCGCCGCCTGGCAACCATCACCTCTCTATGGGCGTCACAACAACCCGCTGCCCCTGGAGTAACAGGGCCCTGTGGAGCTGCTGAGAGATGCAGTGTCCCTACACTGACCACTGGTGTGAAACGGAGGCGTTTCTCTGTTTCGTAAAAACAGCCCAGCAGCAAACTGCACACACAAAGCCCCGCATAGCAGCTTTCATCACTTAATACACAGGTAGGTTTTACCTATTCGCTATCTGTTTAAATTGGTGAGGTCATGTCACCTCTCTATTTCATGTGATAATGAGCACAGTGTTGAATGAGGACAGAACAGCTAGGGATTTGATTGTGTAATTCTTCCTGTAGACGGGAGAGATGAGGGAGTGCATGATCTCTGATGTGTGATTACTTTGATGTTTATCTTTGTTGCTGTTACCCTGGGTATAGATTATAGAAGACCGATGAGTTGGAAATGACAGAACTAATACATTTAACCAAATACAAATAATATGGTGTTGACTGAGGACTCCATCCCTGTGCTTGTTCAGCTTCCCTGTCGATATGAGCACACAGGGTACTGAGACAGATGTTCTGGGGACCAGTCACAGCCCGTCTGAACCAAACAATGGGGCTGGCACTGAACAGGACTACCGTCTCTACCTGCACAGGTACTGGATGTTTGTGTGTTTCTTTGGGTTTAAGTAAGTGAGTGCAGATCTGTATGATGCACATACAGTATATTGGAACCATATGCATACTCTGTGGATGTTAAATGTACCTATTATATCTGTTTACTTACAGCTAATTGTTAGTGTTTATGGGTGTGAATTGTATGTATTCTCAAGTCATTGTTTCTGAATGCATTCATTAATCTCTGTGGGTATCATACAATCCACACAACCCTGCACTTTTATATGTGGGCAATATTAATTGGATGGAAGTGTTTGTGTGATGCAAAGTATGGGTTGATATACTGAAGGCATGGTGTGTGTGTTTGTGTGTGTGTTTGATCAGCTGCTGTCTCTCTGTAGGCTGTTCGGGAAAGAGACAGCTGAGTACTTCCTCAACCCGTCTCCTGTCCACACGTCCTCGCCTGCCTGGTACATACTACTGATGAAGAACATGGGAGGTAACTGGTATAATATAAAAGTACATCTTCCCTTTTAGGTGACAATGTTGTATGCAAATGTTCCTTTTTTGGTGGCGCAACTGGTTAGAACATTTCAAGAGGGCACTCAAGTGTGTTCTAGTCTCTGTGTAAGCAGGAGGAAGTGGTACGGGCCGGCTAAGCAAGCACTGTGATGTCCGCCATTTCACCTTTCTGAAAAGTCCCATTATCTAGCCTAGTGGTTCAACAGACTAATTCCCACTGCTAATGTACTTATTGCCATCTAGTGTCTTGCAGTGTGATGTCTATAGCTTTTCATGTGACCAGCGTGTGTCGGTGTCATGTACTTATTGTGTTGTGTGGCCAGAAGAACTAACCCTCGGAGCCTGGTTCCTCTCTAGGTTTCTTCCTAGGTTCCTGTCTTCTAGGGAGTTTTTCCTAGCCACTGTGCTTCTATCTCTGCATTGCTTGCTCTTTGGGGTTTTAGGCTAGGGATCAGTAAAGCACTTTGTGACAACTACTGTAAAAAGGGCTTTATAAAATACATTTGATTGATTAATTGTGTGACAGATGAGGTGAGTGCTGAGGCCGTTTGGGACGCCCTGAGAGAACACTCTACCAGACGACTCAGAGACCAAGAGGAGGAATCTGAGTCTCTTGAGGTCAGGCTAATTCTTCATTACACTGGCTAATGAGTACTAATGAGTAATGCTGAGTTGTTCCTGGTCAGGGTCACATTGTCAGCAAAAGTCAGGGATAAAAATGTAGAACAAAATGTCTGAGGTTGATATTTCTCATACACAGCTATGACATCCCTTTCCTGTCCCTTTGTCCACAGGTGGTGAAAGTCTCTGCGGACCACGATGGACAGAGAGCGCGGGGTCACCTACGGCACCTGGCAGGGGTCAGGTATATGTTCAACCTGGCCCAGATCCACCAGGCTTACTCTGCCCATGTTCTCTCCCTCAACCATCCAGCTCTGCTCCTAGATGACCTGGAGGAGCTTGAGGGACCACACAGTTACCTACCTATCTCACCAATAAACAGGTGAAGGGAAAACAAATATTATTAAATAAGTATTAGCTATTACTATAGGTAATATAACTACTGTTATTAGACTTCCAAAAGCCTTGCTAATTGAAAATAATTGAATCAGATGTAGAGCCCAATCTTGGGTCAGAGTATCATGTATCTTTTTCTATTAGTGTTATTAAAGGTGTATATGCTGTGTTATTCTTATTGTAACAAAATCCCTTTGGGGCAGTGACATTTGAATTTGTGTGTAATGCTGGGACAAATCTTCCACAAGAGGGCAGTCCCAGATTAAGAGGATGAATGTTTAGTTGAATTTATGCTGGTAGTTTTCACTTTAATATGACAAGCTGTATTTTCAAAATTGTATCTCTATAGTTTCCACTAATAGTTTTAAACAAATAGTGATTGTTTTATTTGTGACACTGTATTATTCTGTGAGTTTGTAATTAAAAGTGACACGTGGCAAGTGTAATTGATTGAACCATTCAATGTCTAAAAAAATTGTATTATCAATCAAAATCACTATATTGATCCTAAATGTAATCTAAGTGGATACCATAAACTGTCAGTTGAATGAAAAGAGCTTTGAAGCATCTTCACTCAAGAGCATTGCTTTATATTTTGTTTGTGTGCTTGTATGGTTGGATGTGGAAGAGTGTGTGTGTGTGTTTGTGCATCCATGACTGGAACCTGAAATATGTAAACTCTGCACTCTCCAATGACCCCTGACCTCTGTTATAGACGCATCATTGAATCCTACAACACACTGCTCCGGTTCTCAGGGCAACGGAGTCTCCATACAGACCAGGCTCCTGATTGGTGGTATGCAGGCCCAAAGGATAAACACACTAAACATTAACGACTGATTGCAGCCAAACACGATCAGTATGAAAGCAAGAAGGTACTCTAGATTTCATAATGGTTAATTTTCCCTTACCATGGCCATGCACCAATCACCTGGACAAAGGTGTTTTTTCTTCCAGAGTATAGCTCTGTGGAATTACAGCCACGAAACCCACAATTTGACATCCCTGAAGCAGGAAGGAAGGAAGAGGGAGGGTGGGAGAGGGGCGCGTGTTAACTGTGCCAATACTGCCGCTGACTTCATGGAAGTGTGGAATTCAGACATACAGTGCCCTCCATAATTATTGGCACCCCTGTTTAAGATGTGGTCGAGGACTTCCAAAAATTCTCTTTTTTTTTAAAAACAACATAGAACCCAAATGCAAATAAAGAGAAAAATCCAACCTTTTATTTAAGTACATTACTTTGGTGTAAAAAAAAAAAATCACACATTTAGAAAAAAACAAACTTTAAATCATGTGTCCCACAATTATTGGCACCCCTGATGTTAATATTTTGTACAACCCCCTTTTGCCAACAAGACAGCACTTAATCTCCTCCTATAACATTTCACAAGATTGGAGAACACAGAGAGAGGGATCTTTGACCATTCTTCTTTGCACAATCTTTCTAGATCATCCAGTGTCCTGGGTCCTCTCTTATGCACTCTCCTCTTTAGCTCGCCCCACAGGTTTTCGATTGGGTTGAGGTCTGGGGACTGAGATGGCCATGGGAGGACCTTGAGTTTGTGACTGCTGAACCATTTTTGTGTAGATTTTGCCACATGTTTTGGATCATTATCCTGCTGAAAGACCCAATGACGACCCATCTTCAGCTTTCTGGCAGAGGCCATCAGGTTTTTATTTAAAATGTCCTGGTAGTTCAAAGCGTTCATAATGCCATGCACCCTAACAAGGTTCCCAGGGCCTTTGGAAGAGAAACAGGCCCACAGCATCACAGATCCTCCACCATACTTCACGGTGGGCATGAGGTGCTTTTCGGCATACTCATCTTTTGTTTTACGCCAGACCCACTTAGAGTGTTTGTTGCCAAAAAGCTCAATCTTAGTCTCATCTGACCAAAGCACACGATCCCAGTTGAAGTCCCAGTGCCGCTTAGCAAACTCCAGACGTTTACGTTTGTGAGTGTTAATGAGAAAAGGCTTTTTCCTTGCATGCCTCCCAAACAGCTTGTTGGCATGTAGAGAGCGTCTGATGGTTGTTTTGGAGACTTTGTGACCCCAAGATGCCACTCTTTGATGCAATTCTGTGACAGTGAGCTTAGGACTTTTTTTTACTTCTCTTACCATCCTCCTCACTGTGCATTGTGGCAAGATAAACTTGGGACCTCTTCCAGCCTTGTTTGTCACTGTTCCAGTTGTTTTAAACTTCTTAATGATTCCTCTGACTGTAGATACGGGCAAGTTAAGGCGAGTGGCTATTTTCTTGTAGCCATTGCCTGACTTATGAAGGTCGACACAAATCTGCCTTACTTGAATGGTGTGTTCTCTTGTCTTTGCCATGTTGACAAATGGGTAAGAGAATTAGGCCTCTGTGTCACATCATATTTATACCCCAGGGAAACAGGAAGTCATGAATTACTAATTAAAGGTTCCTAGATACCCTGACCAACTTTAGCAACTACAGAAAAAAATATTTAAAAAAAAATCAATTAAAATGTTCAGCGGAATTGTTAGGGGTGCCAATAATTGTGGGACACATGATTTCACGTTTTTTTTTTTCTAAATGTGTGATTTTTTTTTTTACCACCAAAGTAACGTACTTAAATAAAAGGTTGGATTTGTCTATTTTTTTGCATTTGGGTTCTATGTTGTTTAAAAAAAAATGAGAATTTTTGGAAGTCCTCGACCACATCTTAAACAGGGGTGCCAATAATAGTGGAGGGCACTGTATATAGCCCTGAGCCCAAGAATCCTAAAAAGACCCTAGATAATACAAAATATAATACATTTTGCAGTCCTATGGACTACTGTATGTATGGAGCAGAGTTATGCACTTTACACCAAAATAGCAATTTGACCCTCACAAACTAATTCATTAATAGACCCTCACAAACCAATAATAATAAATCCAGGAGGTATGATTATAACAATCCCTGGTCCAGCTAGCTCTGACAGCCCTTTCTGCTGTGTTTGGTGTTATGATGAGGGAATCCTTTAGTGGGAGGGAATGTGAGGTATGCTGGGGCAGGACTTGGTTATGGATCTGTAGTTGTATTTGTCTGTGATGGGGACAACTCCGAACCCAATACAATAAATCAATACAGTAATGAACAGCAAACTACATAAGATTTACCACACTACTCATACCCCCACATAATATCACCCCCATCACCCCCTTGAGCAAGAGACTGCTCTCTTGTTCCTGTGCTCTGCAGAAGTCTGTTTCCTGAGGTTTATCTCCCAGTCAGGTTTGGCTGGCACCAGATAATGAGCTTGTTGATGGCTTTTGTCATCATCATCCTATAAAGATGTTTATATTCCTCATAACAAAATACCCAGCAGCAGCACCTACAACAGGCTTGCATAGAGGCACTAAAAAAGTCAATAAAAAGTATTTCTGACATAGGAAATTACCCATAATCTAACTATGAAGAATTATCACCCCCCCGTCCCCCCGTCCCCCCCCCCGTCCCCGTCTGTCCGTCCGTCCCCCCCCCCCCCCCCCCCCCCCCCCGTCTTCTTTCCATATCTAACCCTTGTCTGATCCCAAATTTGTAACGACTGGGCAGATACCTGTCCTGATCTGAGTTACTGGGGAGGAGCGGGAAATTAATATTTGTACAAAGATTACAGACAGAGAGAGGCAAATGGAAAAGGAGCAAGTGACTATTACGGGAAATTATAATAGACTAGGTATTGGGAATTGCAATGTTTATCAAACAAACCGAGCCTTTGTCCTTCTTCGTCCAAGTTTAACTTTGATCTCCAGCACGAGAAGGTAAAATTCTGTCGATGTCTTCATAGCCTATAACCTACCTGCTACCTGACTGAACGACCTCGATGTCGGAGGTTGAACGGTGTAGTGCTGTAGCCCACTCAGTATAGCGTCGGGGTGGCGCCCATACCTAACAGAAACCTACCTTGTTTGTACAGTAGGCTAGGCCTACAAATATATATACATTCTGATAAACGCTGGTTTCGACTCCTCCCCCTTTCTGTACAGTACTGGGACTGCAGACCAAACTGTACACAGGACTCATGCAGGTGGTCGAGGCAAGCGAGGAAGCAGAGACAGTGGATCAGATAAGTTGTGAACAGGTGAGACTACTGCAACTTTTTACCTTTCGTTTTAACTGTAGAATTAAACTTCACTGCGCTCTTTACTTCTCAAACAACTTATCGGTCATTTATTGTAATAAACAATTGCTGTTATGCAACCGTTTATCCTGACCTGTGTGTTTGCAGAATCCTAAGGAAGTGGACAAAATAAGCTAGAGTGTTTTAAGTGACATTGATTTATGGGAGGTACTGTATCCTACTCGTTATAATCAATGCAATAACTTACATAGTTTGCATCTAGTTTTCATGCAGATGGATATTAGGTAGCCTATAGTTTAGAGCATAACAAATAAAGTGATTCAGCTTGCTATGGATAATCAGATATTGACAATCAGGAGCTGCAGAGGTATCTCCTCATCTGTGGTCAAATGTTGTCCTAGAAAGATATGGGAGGCAGGAAGAAACACCCCAGCTCCCAGTCCCAACCCCTGGTCTGTTGACTGAGATTTTAGTAAAGGTAACAAGGCAAGTTGAGATGAAAAATTGAAGGAAAACCTGCAATCACTGGAATTACAGTAGTTATGTGAATAATGGCATTCATGAACATTCACTGAAGTGTACCATTTTCAGTGAATTTGGTCTTTCTCTATTCCCATTTCTAACTTCTTCCTAATATTTGCTGTCCTGAGCACACAATACCTTGTTCATGTTTTATTACTGCTTGACACTAGAGCAGCTCTGGTCTGCGCTGTGCGTGGCCCTCTGCCACTCCACTCGTCACAGGGTCAGGGCGAGCAGATTACTCACACCATTTCACACATTCCACTGGGATTAGGAAACTACTCAAATGAACATTGAACAGGAGGTCACCCTTTCAATCACTTTCAATCACAGTAAAGATTTTAGATTAATTAGGGAACCCCCAATGTATATGTAGGACTATTCTATGACATGAAGCTTTAGCTGGAAAATAGCCTTTATAAATCCTTCTTACTTTTGCCTGTTAACTGTGAAACGAGTTGGACAACATTGACCATTACTCTTAGGTTTGTGGTCCCTTCTGGCATTTATATGGAAATGTACCCAATCAATGCCTAATGCATCATATGGCACTGTTTAGATTGCCCGACCACTCCAACTGAATTCTTCCGCAGCTCTATCGTTCGCTACAGACTTCAAGTCGTTTGTGGTGATGTCAAAAGGAGGGGTGTTGTACAAAACAAAGTAATCAGCTATTGGATAATCTCTAACCAATCAGAATATCAAGGCCAATGACGAATTTTCAAATGCTGC